GAGAGAGAGAGAGAGAGAGAGAGAGAGAGAGAGAGAGAGAGAGAGAGAGAGAGAGAGAGAGGTGTTGGTGAAGCTGAAGATGTTTTATTTAGGGTTGGAAGAACAGAAGAATGAAAGAACCTGAGAATCTATAGAAGCATCAGACCAAGGTGGGAAAAAAGGAAAATCCAGAAATAAGGATCTGATCCAAAGACCTGAGATCACCTGCCCAGTTTTCTTCAAACCCCATCCAAAATGGTCAATTTGACCAATCACATCTTTAACAAACTCCTCCCACACACCAAGAAACTCCCACTTAATGACTGCAGAGACCCCCTGACTCAAAAATCTTGACAGATCTGTTGTGGGACACCTGAAAACTCATGAATAAAACTGTAAGTGCAGAAAGGTGTAAGTGTTTATTTCATAGTAATAAATGAGTTAAAGCCTGGGCCTCCAACCTTTCATTTTAACACAATTTGGTGTTTTTAATATACAGAATAAAACGTCAGTGCTTCCACAAAAGGAAATGAATTTTATGAACAGATAAAACTTCCATGCAGTCACTTAGAAAGGCTTTTGTCTGGCTTTTTTTTTATTGAAAATAAATGTGAAGACATGCTGATGGAGTAAAAGTTGTGCCACTCAACTGCTAACAGCTCAGAGTTTTTTTTAAATTGTAGCATTGCAGCTTTGGTCACTTTGTACCCACACTTTTGGGTACAAAATAAAGCTGTGTGCAACAGTTTTCTTTGTACCCACTTATCTATAATATTCATTATGAGATGAAGAACAGCTTGATACTCAACAGTACATGGGTCGAACTCAAGGCTTCTGTTTAGCCCTACAATGATTGTTTGACTGTTTCTGTGCAGGAAATACCAGGTAGAGCTCAGTTATTGTTTATTAGCTGTGCTCAGCCGTAGAAACGAGTCGAAACGTTGACATTAATTACAAACCCAATGCTTATGTTACTCACTGTGAAAATGAGATCGACACCGCTGCCCAACAGGTACGAAACATCAACTGATGGCGACGAAACAGTAACAGATCAGAAAGAAATGGCAACCGACTGAGCAGAAGAGAACTCTAAATTGTGAACTCTGATAATAAACACCAAAAAACACAGATGATGATGTTAACAGCCTTTCATTTAGCAAACACAAGATAATACAGCTCGCTCCTAAGGCAGAACACAGGTTTCTGCACAAAACTTACAGAAACCTGTTTTGCTTCATTGTGTTTCAAAATAAGGTGATGAAAATCGCAGCAAAGAATCTTATATCCATCTGAAAATAAACTGAGAGCTGATCACTGAAGCTAACAAAGAGAAATGGCGGCAGTTACGGAATTATGAACACAACAAAAGCTGCTAATGGAAGCTGTAGAAAAGAATCAAACATTGAATGAGAAAATGTTTCTCTCAAGGAGAAAATGGTACAAAAAAGTTTTAGTGATTTCTGAGACTGCATATCCTTCTTTAGCTTAATTAAAGAAATGTGTAGTCCTAGAGATTAGAGAGAAACAGCAAACTTGCAGAACAGTTTATAACAAAATGTTAAAAAATGTCACTAATATATTTTCATTATTTAGCTCATTGGGCCTCATGCAAGAACATGTTCGTATTTTTATCCTAAATTTCTCTTACTTTTGTTCGTACAAAGGGTTCGTACGAACATGTCACGTCAGATTCAACAAACTCTTCTATCTTCAGGAAAAGTGTGTAAATGAGCTGCGTAAATTACACCTGTTCTATCCAGCTGCTCGTGCACGCGAGAGGAGATTAGCATAATTACCACCCCAAAAACACCATATAAGGCTATGCCTCAGATACAAGGAAGTGTTCATTCATTCATGAAAATTACAGCAAAAACTGAAAAAATAAAAACTTTACGCGTTCAGAGATTGAAGTCCGTCTGTCAGAGATCCAGAAAAGAAAATCTGTCATTTTTAGCAGGTCAGCTGTGGGATACAAAGAGCTGCTAAAAGTATAAATAACTGTGTTAAATCATTTTCATTTATTCAGAAGCCGCAGCGCTGCGCGGCGCAGGTGGTCTCAGATGCGGGTCTGAAATAAGCATTTTAAAATGTTTTCAAAATAAGTCTGGCACTTTGAAGAAAATCCTGGACATGATCATATATCCCCTCTGGCCCGGGAACGTCTCGGAGTCCCCCAGGACGAGCTGGAAAGTGTCGCTGGGGAGAAGGGGGTCTCTCTGCTGCTGCCACCGAGACCCGATCCCGGATAAGCGGCGGAAAACGGACGAACGGACAATTTATATTGCTAGTTTAAATTATTACATTTAAAATTATAACTCTAATTCAAGCAGAATAGCCTATTGTCAACATAATTATGGAGTGTGATTTATTTTCAACTCAAAATATCTTCAAACTAATGAAATATAAAGTTATTAATGAAGAAAACCCGTCTGGATAACAGCAGACTGACTGCTSGTAAAATATACGACAGGTCTGGACCACTCRTRAATTTTGTTCGTATCTGAAGAAAATCTTAGAATACGAAAACATTGGTGAATGCCACAAATTCTCCTAAATCACTCGTATGCACAATTTAAGAACAAATCTGTGCATACGAACTGTTCTTGCATGAGGCCCAATGAGAGTAAAATCTTAGTAATGAATTTGACGGGAATTTTATTGTTATTTAGCTCACTGTTATCACATTTTGCTAATAGATAACGCATGGTAAATTTAAAATTTAAATGTTATATATAAATCTAAATATAAAATTTAAACCTTACATGTTGCAGCTAAATGATAAAGTTTAAATTTAAATATTTTGGAAAGGAACGCAGCCCTTGCTGTTGGTGCACGGCTTGATGTCATCATCCTGGGACAAAATCAGCAGCTAAAACTGCTAATGCTGCTAACCATGCTAACATTTTTGATGATAGTATTCAACATTTAAATTCAAAATGTGTTATTTAAAAACAATAATGATTGTACATGTGGTCTTAGCAGATTGAAGTGGAGCTAACACCGCAGTATCCGCAACTTTGATATCTTGGTAGCTAGTAGCTTTAGCATTTGTGGGTGGTGACGTCAAAAAAGGCGGCTTTTTATTTAGAAAATTTTAAATGTGAACTTTAACATTTAAGTTTTAACTATTACATTAGATTTGGATTTTAACATTTATTGGTTAAATTAAATATTTCGTAAAAACAGTGAGCTAAATAATTAAAAAAAATTAGTGGATTTAGAAAAATTCATAAAATGCGCAAAAAAAAACGTGTTACTGACATTTTTGGACATTTTACCTTGGCGCCCCACGTGCAGCCAAATTAAACTGACAGTTTTACAGTGATGAAGAGGAGGACAGGAGCAGAGGTGAAGATCAGATGAGAGAAGCAGGTGAGTATTGAGGAAGAGAAGAAAGAAGAGAAGAATCTGTTTCATCATTTGGACTTGTCTCTTCGCCAGCTCTTCCTCTCTCCTCCTCCTCCTCTCAGAGGTTAACAGCAACGCCCTGCTTCACATTTCAGATTCCCACAGTTTCACACCTGCAGACTGTCTGATGTGGAGGTCAAACATGATTCTCAGACTCAACCCCCTCGCACGCGCACGCACCTTCACACTGCCTCGTGCACCAGGGTGCTCATCACGCTGCAATGAGCACCAAATTAACCCCAACAAAAAAACAGACCACCTGATTTGGACCAATCACCTCCTAAATGTTCAAACCTGCAGCTGAGATGTAAAAAGATCCAACTCCGAACCTCTACTGGAGATAAATAAATTTAAATAAACACGCACGAGAATAAAAAGTTGTCTCATGAGCAGTATAAAGACAATCAGCGCAGTTAAAACTCTGCTAAATTATTTATTTTTAGGGTAAAAAACAACTAAAGGTGTAGTTAACAGCAGAAACTCCCGAGTCTAAAGAGGCTTCCGTTCCGCGCTGCTCGGACTCGGTTCGTCTCCCAGAAAGAGAAAAGTGAAATAAATAATTAATTAATTGATGCTTTAAAAGGCGCACACGCAGACTCACCCTCTGCGGCTGTCCGGCTCAGAAATGACGCAAACAGAACGAGTGAAGCGATAATCCGAAAGATTTGAGCGCAAAGATCCATGATGGTTCGGCGGGAGGCTGCGGAGAAGCTCTGCTCTCCTCCAGCTCCGACACAGATCAGGTCCTGATCCACCAGAGGAGGAGAGGAGAGGAGGAGAGAGGGAGGGAGGGAGGAGAGACGGAGCGGGTCTCCCTAAAACCTCCTCCTCCTCCGAACACATCCTTCATCAGAAACACGCAGCTTTGCGGGACTGCGTCCTCAAATAAGCCATCTGTTCGAGTTTTTATTATATTATTATTATTCTAATTATATTATTATTATTCTTGTTTAAGATAAAACACCGTGACTCTGCGCTGCGTTTTTAACAACAAATGAAGAATCACAAACTAAACTTGTTTCTGACTGAGAGAATTAAAGTTTTAAATCTTTGATCAGTTTTCAAACAGACATCCATCCATCCATCCTTCCTTCCATCCATCCTTCCATCATTTCTTCCTTCCATCCATCCATCCTTCCATCATTTCTTCCTTCCATCCATCCTTCCATCATTTCTTCCTTCCATCCATCCATCCTTCCATCATTTCTTCCTTCCATCCATCCTTCCATCCTTTCTTCCTTCCATCCATCCATCCTTCCATCATTTCTTCCTTCCATCCATCCTTTTATCCATCCATCGTTTCATCCTTCCTGTCATCCACCTATCTGTTCATCCATCCATCCTTTCATCTTTCCATCAATCCTTTCCTTCCATCCATCCATCCTTTCATGAATTCTTTCATCCATCCATCCCTCCATTTTCCATCCATCCATCCATTTTCATCCATCCATCCATCGTTTCATCCTTCCTGTCATCCATCCATCCTTTCATTTTCCATCCATCCATCCATCCATCGTTTCATCCATCCATTGTTTCATCCATCCATCCATCCATCCATCCATCCATCCATCCATCCATCCATCCATCCCCTACTCTTTCCTGCAGGGTCACAGGTCCATCAGATCTACATGAATTCAAACTGTTTATAATTCTGAATAAAGATGTTTGATAAATGTTTTAAAGGATCCACACAGTTCTCCGCTGAGCCTCTGCTGGTTCTGATTTAAACTCTCTGGTGCAAAAAACAAAGACTCAGAAACTCAGAGTGAGTTTGAGTCCAGGCATTCACAAGCTTTAATTTAAGTTTTAATATTCTACTAATCCCCCCCACCAACACACACACACACACACACACACACTCTGACCTCAGGGTCTGACAGCCCCCCCACTAAAAAAAAAAAAAACTATGACTCAGAGCAGGATTGTTTATACAGAAATGTAGTATTAAGAAGAGGATGAGCACAATCTGTCGCTCTGCCAGGTTTACTGAGTGTCCCTGAAGGCATCATCACTGCTAAAAAAACAAATTAAAACATCTTTTTTCACAGAAAGCAGCAGGACAGTGAAGAATCAGCTTTATTACAGAACTTCTGGGTGCAAGACAAAGCTCCAAACCAACTGTTGACATGACTGCTTGTTTGTTTATTTACAAATAAACTAAAGTTTCTGGAGTGTTTGTGGATAAACACAAAGTCCTTCAGTTTGTCAGTCTTTGGTTATAGTTCAGAGGTTGTGAATAAACCTCTTCAGGGTTTTAGTTGAATTAATTAAAAGTTGTCAAATTTATCAATATGTGGAATCTTGCTGTTTCTAGAACAACAATTTTAAATTCAAACAAAACCGATGCACTTCAGCTTCAGGTTCAGAGGAAAGGCTGGTTTGAGGTTCAGGTTCAGGTTTGAGGAAAATGGCTGCCAAAGGTTACTTCCCCTCCATCTACGACAAAACAGAAAGCCAGACATTGTGGTCCTTTCTCAACCTGAGACAGGTKAGGTCCCTGCAGACCCACTCCAGGAGACAATCTGGTTCTGAGACCGGCTTCGTCGATCCAAGCCGCCCGGCCGCTCGGCGGGCCGAACCTCCAGCCGTCTGCAAGGCATCAAATCTCCTGAAGGAGCCCGAGTACTGGCCTCTGGAGGTCTTCTGCACGGCAGGGGAGGACGGTGGGTTGGCTCCGGTGAGCGAGGCGGACCAGATCTGTGAGCTTCGCAGCAAACTGAAGGAGTTTGAGTTGATTGAGATGATGGAAGACAAGTCAGAAACCCCCCCGAGTGAGTAGATGTTTAAAAACAAACTAGAGCTGTCAGGTGCAAAGTTTTATCTGAATCTTCATTATTATAAACAGTAAAAACRAAGTTATTGAAGAGATGAGGGGATAATTTATGGTTTATTTGTCATATAAAGGTAAAAGAAACTGAAAATGCTCAGATTTTATCAAGCAGTTAATTAATTAGTGACATATTGTTATAGTTGCTACAAATTATATACACAAAAAAACAATTTTATAGAATTGTAGGCTAAATAAACTTCATATTTTAAAAGTTTCTTTTATGTTTAGTGGGAAATTAAATTAGTGTGTTTAAAACTTAAGAACTGATGAAGTATTTCATAGTAAAATGCAGTGAAAGTATGAACAGAAAAAAACAGAGTTAAGTTATTTAAATCTTATTTGTTTTAATTCTCTCTTTCAGGTAAATTTCAGCGAASCTTCATGTTGGGCATGCCGAAGCCGAGGAAACAAAGGATTGAAAAGAAACAACAAAAAACAAACGTTTAATGAATAAAATCAATTAAAATTCCTGCAAACAAACCAAATATTTAAAAAAAGTTTTATTAAATTACTTTGACGGAGGAGAAAGGTTGTTTTTTTGAAATAAAAGCAGGTTGTTATAGACTTGAATAAGAACACTAGATTGAGCCCCACCTGTCCACTGTTAGGGTTTACAGCATGGAGGAGCAGAAACAGACCTAACAGGGCAACAGCTCACAGCCACCACAGAAACTAACAGATAAACAGCAGCTGAACTGGATCTGTTTCACAGATTATCTGTCAGGTTTTTACAATAAATTAATAATTATGTTAATTTCATTCAACAATCATGTAAAACAGCAGATTTATACCAGAAAAATATATAATTTATAAGTAACAATGATCTAAACCAGACCTGAAGTCAGCCTGTAACTTAGACTTTAGCTTGTTGAAAAATGATGACTTCAGCTAGTAATAAAGTATATTTATTATTTCTTCTTACGGTCATAAAAAAATAATAATATTAATATTTACCAGTCAACAGTTAGAAAATGTTCTCTGGTTATAGGATGAAACTTGTCTCGATTAGCTAACATCTTCTTAACAGGTCAGGTTCCTCTAACAGAAACCTAAAAATACTCACATTTATAATATTATTTTACACTCTGTAGGTCTAAATATTAATCAAGAGGACAAAGTAATATTTAATAGTTTGTTAAATTGTAGCATGATTCAACAGTGCTACTATATGCTCCACAAGCTAATATCTGCTAACCAGTTCAATAAATAACAGTGATTACATGAACTTTATAAGATTATTTTAATTTTAAACTGTTACATTGGCTGTGTCCAAAACGACAGGACGGGTCCTCCGAAGGCCGAATTTGTCGGCCGCATACGTCACAGCGCCGCGACGAAGGACGTCCAAAACTGAAGACTCCTCCGATGCGGCCGACAAATACGTCTTTCCTTTGGCCCGAATCGAAGGACAGGTCTGATGGATCCTTCCCTGCCCAGCATATCCCATAATGCATTGCGGCCCGACCGGAGATTTTTTTATGCTAGTAATGGCGGATGAAGTGAGAGAAAAGAATACGTTTTAAATAAAAATATGGCGATATAAAAATTAAAAAAATTTAGCGGTTGTAATTCTAATACTTTCATCATTTGTATGGACATGTTTTTAAATATTATTTTTTCATCATAAAAAACGCGAAATAAACATGAACCTACAGCAGGTCAATTAGTTCTTCAAATGATACCTTTAAGTTAATTTTATAGGTTTGTGATATTAATAATGCTAATATATTGATATTTTTCTAATTTTGATTTAAGTTTGCTTGTTTAGCGTCGTCACAGTTGCTAGGTGACATGACGTACGCCAGGGTAAGGAGGGGAGGCTAGACCGTCCAAATTCACAGCCTCTTTTTTTCCGGTCTTCCCGGTCTACCAAGGACCCGGCCCGCCGCGACCGGGTAGTCTGGGTCCTCCGGAGGACCCGGCCTGTCGTTTTGGACACAGCCATTATGTTCTGCTCAGATCACATTGAGCTAAATAAGATCAAATCTGATGACTTGTTGTAAAATGAGACGTTTTCCTGTTTATCTTCTGTTAATAAATCCATAACACAAACAGATTTTCTGACATTATTTAAAACATTAGATTATATGAACTGTAAAATACTAATAATAATTGGGTTGACATTATTATTAATAGTTTTTATGATTTCTACATTGACAGTCCTTTTTTTCTGCTCTGTCACCAACATGTACAGTAATGATAAATCCAGACTCTTGACTGTTTTGCATTAGCCGTTAGCTTCACCAGCCGATCACATGGTCACCTGGTTTCTGAGCTCCAGTTGTTCTATATAAACTCCTTGCTGGCATCACTTAATTGATGATAAAGTGTGCTAAAACAGGAAGAAAAGTTAATCTTTAAAATTGTTTTTGTGCATCAGTTTTATTAATGTGTTTTTTCTGTCATTTCCACCAGTATTTTATTTGCCCTTTCAAAATAAACTATGATTATTTTAGCTGTTTACTAAAAAGGAAAGCTGAGAAATTTTTGATTAAAAAACAAAAAGATCATTCTTTGTAAAGTTTGATGCTTTAAAAAAAGAGAAATAAATGGTTCTTTAAAACAGGACATTTTGATATTCAATAAGAAAAAACTAAACTCACCAGCAAACACTAACCTGAGCTGCAGAAATAGACCTTAAAAGGTATTTTATAGGAAGTTATGGCATTTATGGAGCAAACAGACATAACTGCAGTCTTAAAGCCATCATCACATTAGATCTTCCTCTCCAGCAGTAGTCATAACCCACCGAACAGTTTCAGATTTTATTGGCAGCTCTGAGCAAACTGTTTGCGATTGGCTTCAGACGAGTCGTTGCTGAATGTTTTCTGGTCGAAGCGGCCCTGATTCTGCTGCRCAGCAGGAGTTTTCAAACCAATTTGTGTAACACAGAAGTGCCTGGGGATGAGGTGAGGGTGTCACGTTCAACACATCAGATCCAGAGCAAATATCAGGTGAACAAGTTTGGAAGATTTTGGCTCTCGGTCAATAATGCAAGAAAGAGACGGTGAGGGGAGGATGCAGAGAGTTTAGTAGACAGAGCTGATAATGAAGATACTGTTGAAATCATGAGGGTCAGAGAATGTCTACTCGACGTGAACGCACTGCACACGAACAAACCAAAGTTCTGATCAGATGATGGGYTCTTCTAACTTTAAAAAGGAAGAAACAACAGAGAGCCCAAGTGGSAGAACTTAAAGAAAAGAAGAAGAGTTTTTAGGTCAGATTTCTGTGGAAAGATTGTAAAAAAGTAACTTCCTACTTGCTGCAGATAGCTCTCAGTTTGGAGAAATGAACCAAACAAAGGTTTAAAAAACCCAGCRGAATTTAAATTAAGTTTATTTTGAAATGTCCAACAAGTGTATCATGTAACTGGAGGAAGAAAAACAGTAGATTCAAAAATTTGCAGCAGATAACGGGGATCAGTTAGACTGATCGGTATCAGCTTTAAAAAACTGGTTGATCTCTGCTGAAAAACAACAAACATTTCTGCCAGAATAACCACAAAATATGAAACTGAAGAGCTATCTACAGCAGGTAAGATATTGTTTATAACATCTACATTGAACAAAACATAAAAGATTTGAATTAATGATTTAGAGCAGAAGTTCCCAAACTTTTTGTCTTCTGACCCACAAAATATCCATGGCAAAAACTTGTGACCCCAAATATTACTGGTCTGAGTACACGAACTTCATTAATAACCATAAAAAACTTCCCAGTTCCCAAACTTTTTGTCTTCTGACCCACAAAATATCCATGGCAAAAACTTGTGACCCCAAATATTACTGGTCTGTGTACACG